CAACCATTTAACTGGCTCCACAGGAAGCCAAGGCAGCTATCTCTTGAGATCCAAATTACATCGTTTTTGAATTGTTTCAAATAGTGAAATATTCTTTTCCTTTTTTGTGGTGAGTTTAAACCATTAACGTTCCAGGTTAAAATTTTAATTGTCATCTTCAGCCCCCTGAAGCTTTTTAAGAGCCACCTGGAAATCCTGCTGAAATTTCCTCTTTGGTCTATCTCCCCCCACAGCTTCTGTATTTATGTTTGTAGTTTCTTGGATTGTTGTCTGAGCTTGTTGCATCTTTAATTCTTGTTCTTTACGTTTGGTAGCTGCTCGGGTTTGTCTTTGTTCCATAATTCCTGCTGTCTCCTCAAGTAAATCCAGGGCTTGAGCAGCACCCGCTTGTACCTGGATATCTTCCTGTCTAGCCTCCCCTGCTTCTTTTCTTCCTCTGGATCCTGGAGATGGAGGGTGTCCAGCCTTTAATACATTGCTGTAAGCATTTTTTTCTTGCTGCTGCCAAGCCAGTCTGGGTGATATAAGGAGCTGATTTAATGCACTCTGGTGGAATACACTGCCTTCAACTGAGAGTGGTTTAATTATAGCTAGTTGTATGTATGTTATAGTTCAAAACCAGCATAAGTTCAAACATGTTTTATGTAATTGGGTACAGTTGAATTTAAGCCTTTTCAGCCATAAAGCAGGGTTACAAATCACAGCAAGTGGCTTCATATAAGATGCTAAGCGAATTAATTAGTGCAGCATCACCGGATCAGGTCACCGGATCAGTTACTATCAGGGGTTTCCAACTTTGGCAACTTTAAGACTTTTGGACTTCAACTCAAGGTTTGCTGGCTGAGGAACTCTGGGAGTTGAAGTCCACAAGTCTTAAAGTTGCCAAGGTTGGAGACCCCTGAGTTATATTGTCCTGCACCTCAAGAAGCAAAAGGAGTTTTACAGACAAGTAAAGCTGCACTCCCTTTTGCTGATTTTCTCCAAAGGATGCTTAAAGCCATCACAGAAGAAAGCTCCAGTGGCCATCTCAGGGAGGTTTAGAATCTAAGGGCCCAGAGGAGTCTGATTCCATCCAATCCATTTTTATAAATGGGTGGGACTTTTTAAAAGATGGTTATTGGCTTCTGTGATCTGATAGGCTTGTTTGACCTCCTTGGGCATCTGGACAGGGAATGCCAAACTTTGAATGGTTTGAACAGGTGAAGAATCCATCACCTCTCAGCCGGTTTTCATAGAAACTCCATTTCCCAGCTCCACTTCGGCTGTTTCTCGTAGCTCCCATGACTCTGTTAGAGAAAATGGAATCTCTTAAAAAATAGGCTTGGCATGGAGAGCTGAGGGTTGCAGTTTATTTAGGAAAGACACGGGCAAGGGTTTTTGGGGAAGGAAAGTCTGCCCAGCAGCATTGCTGTCTCCATTTGTTTCCTAGGCACCTGGCAAGGAAATTTTTTTACCTGTGGAAGCGGAAGGCATTTGGAAGAGTCCTGCCATCCAAGGCCAGGTAAGCTTTTCGCTCAAAGATGTTTGCATTTCTGCAGTGAGATACAAAAAATATGATATCAATCATCAGTACTGGTTTATCTAAATGCTACTCAAACTCTCATTCCCATAACCTTTAGCTGGGTGAAATGGCAGCATGGGGCAAACCATTTTAGATCTGGGCTAACTCATAAAATGTGTCCAAAATTCAGGACCCGTGAATAGAAGTTGAGCAAACATAAAACATGATGTTAATCATGATGATAAAACAGTTTATGACATAGTGCAGCACGTCATCCAACATTTCCTGTGCCGAGGTTTGCGCTGTTCAGTTCAGACGGGGCTGCTTTCAATGCAGATCCATCTTTGAAGGCCTCCCATCTTCCCTAGGGATGGCAGGACATTAGAAGTCCTGTCATTGTTGACGGCTTTGAGAAATTTGGGAAGGAATATCTCTGAAAGGAAGACTAAATGGGGCACAAGTTTCTGGCCTTGAAGGCCTCAGTTGAAGTTTCTTTTCCTTCTGATGTTGGCTGTTGTGCCTTCAACATCTGCAGAATGTAATTTTAGGAAAAGCCTGGAAATATTTCCAGCTGATGAAAAAGAGATCTACTCTGGATCATGTAACTGAGAAGGAATCAGGGGGCGGAGAGGGGGGGAGAGAGAGACTTAGAATTCAGCGGCTGCCAATAGTCTGAGATGCTGCCCAAATGTCCGTCCCCATCTCCCCCCCCCCCCCCGTCTACGTGTGGGGGCTTCCTGGACTTTTTTTACCCTTCAGTTTCCTGGTCCCGCCCAGCCTGTTTTCAGATTTGGTCTTTCTTCTGCTGGTTTGTCCCCCACCAAATTTGGTCCAGTTTCGGGCGAGCTTTTCTGCTGAAGGACAGACCAGCAGAGCCCTGCGTCCTTCTAGGGATCTTTTTCCCAAACAGTCCAGCTCCCTGGAAGGGAGCCCTTTCCCTCTTGAGCACAAAAGATCCGGGGCAGTCTGTGGAAGAGAGTCCCAACCTTCGATCTCAGCTCTGGTGCTGCTTCTCTGCTCCCTCCCTCCAGCCAGCCCTGAAGCTCACATTTGCGTTTCTCTATTTCTGCCACTTTTGCTCCTGTAGGTGGACACAGGTTAGCTCTTGTGTTTGCCTTGGAGCAGAGGGCTGGAGATCCGGATGTGGAGGGCTTTGCCATGACCAGGGAGCTTCCTAGGCCAGCGGAATTAGGCTGCCCCCCAGAGCTCTCATAGGGCAAATGAGCTGATTGAGGGTCCGGGAGAGGATGTGAGCAGTTGTCTCAAATGGCTGATTAGCTCCAGATGTTCTTTGTGTGACTGCCTGCCCCGGAGCACACACTTATTTATCTCTATTGGTATTTGGTGTGTTTTTGTTGTCATATCTGTGTAGGGCTTATTTTGTTCAGAAAACGCTGCAGAAAACCTTTGGAGAGTGGAAGGAGGAATGGTGGGTTCTTTGCAGAGAATGGAAGCTTACCGTCAGAGCCGACTGCCGTCACAGGTCTGTGCCAGAAGCCTTCTGATGCCACCCTGTTCTTTGGCCTAGGAACCAATTTGAGCCTGTTAGAAAATTGCTTTCATTTCCCAGGCTTATGTTGTCTTTCCTGCACCCTAGCAAAATAAAAAATAAAAATGGTTCGGTTCAGACATTGCACTAAACCATGTTTCATGCTAACCATAGTTTACATCCTAAACTATTTTGAGTCTGGTAGACCAGCTTAAGAGTTGTTTGTTGATGTGTTTAGTTTCCATTTATTCAACATTTCTCTTCTGGGTCTCTGATGATAAAACAAAATCTACATTCTACTAATATTCTTGTCCCCGTAACTCTTAACAGGGCAAAATGGCGTGGTAGGGCAACAATTTTTCAACCAAGATGCCTCAAATGGGCTAACTTAGAGAATGTATCAAAAATCTGAGAGCGGTGACTCCAGTGGAGTTGAAATGTGGCAAATTTTATAAAACACTTTATGACATTAAACATCATGATGAAACAATTTATGACATCATCCAACATTTCCTGTGCTGAGGTTTGTGCTGTTTAGTTCAGCTGGGGCTGCTTTCAATGCAGATCCATCTCCACTTCCCCAGGGAAGGCATGAGGTTAGAAGTCCTGTCATTGAGGAATCTGGGAAGGAATATCTCTGAAAGAAGGACAAGAGATCAGGGGTTGTCTGGTATGAAGGAATATGTTGAAATGTTAAACTAAGCCATACTTGGTGTCCAGTCTCCCATGTTAAAATATTTTGTTTCATCCTGCATTAGTAAGTCAAATGTCAGAGCTCTCCCTGAATGGTTTTAGTTCCCTCTTGGTTCCCCCTAATGGCCAATCTTCAAAGTACTTATCATATATAAAAAAAGAATTGAAAACAAAGATCTTTTCTCATGGCAAGAATTCTTATTAATTCTTTTCAAATCTTTTCAAATGTATGTATTTGTAACTTTCTAAAATCAAAAATTTGATCACTTTTTTGCTGTTTATTCAAGAAACAAATTGTTCTTGTATTTCAAATTTCTTTTGCTAGCGATTGAAGGAAGCTTACCAGGTGCTGTAAATTTTTTTGATCTAAAGTTTCCAAATAACTGAAAAGTAGTTAACAATCAATTTCCAGAAGTGATGAAAAAAGGAAGCATGTAAACCTTTTGAGGCACTGACCACTTGAGCAAGATAGTTGTTTCCTCACCTCCCGGAGTTCTAAACCCACAAGAGACCACTGTCTTGCAGTCTCCTTGTGGGGAAGAGTTGTCTAGAGCACTTGTGAGTGATCTCAAGGCCTCCTTGTCTGGAGAGAAATTACGAAGAGCCTGCGTATTCGCTGGCTCTTCATCCCACCAGTCATCAGTTCCTCTTTTAGTGGAGCCACTTTGTCATTTCTTCCCTGGAAGTCCCAGTTTCCTGTTCTTTGGAAAGAGGAAAAGTATGATTTGTTAAACTGTAGCGGGGACGACATTTATTAAAAATATCTGGAGAAATGGAAATTCAGCCCCTTCCATGAAGGCTTCCACTTGCTTGGCATTCTCGGCCTGTCATCCACTCCCTATGGCTAATTTTGGTGGCCTTCAACCCCAAAGGTTGCCCATGAAGTATCTTTAAAACAAAGGAAGAAAAAGAAATACTCTGAGATAGCTGGGAGTTTTCCTGTATACCAACCTGCTGATGGATTCTGCAATGAAAAATCTGGTATTAACTCTTTAATACACACCCATCCACCGAGAAGGGGAGAAGGGGGAAAGAGAGTGGGGGAGGGAAAAAAGGAGAGAGAGAGAGACTTATATAAAATAGTCCTTTTAGCAAGAAGCGTTTCTATGAAAGCATTTGCAGAAATCCCTTCAGCACATGCTCTATTGTCTTGATGTGCCACAGCTCAACTTCATCCCGGCTGCTGACCAAGCGTTCTGTTCTCCATTGCTCAGGTATTTTCTCTACCACAAGGTCTTTCAGGCTTGGAGGTCTTACCTGCTCCAGAAACGAGCAAAGAAGCTTGCCTACTATACTGCAGAGGCCCATGGTGAGAAGTGGCTGGCGGGGGTGGTGGTGGTGGTGCTAGGGCTGGGCTGGGCTGGGCAAGGGAGCAAGGGTTGGGGCTCGATTCTCAGAAGGAGCCTGGGGGCCGATGAGCTCAAGGCCACTCATTCTTCACTCTTGTGCCTACCCAGTTCCTTCTCTTGTTGGCCTACTTTTAAAAAGAATTCCTTTCATAAAAAAGGAAAGGTAGCCTCATGCAAAGCCAAGTGCATATCTGGCCTTCCATCTGCAGAAAGGCTGAGAGAGGCTCTTCCAGAGTCTAGATTGTCTTCTGGTGAGAAGACCTCTGACAATGGGCTGCCTACCTAGAGTGCTTGTGCCCTGCTTGTGCCCACAGTCTCTCCCCCAACCTCTGGAAATGCTTCTGGGCCAGGAGAGTTTTCCTCCTGGCTCACAAGTGCTGCTGCTGCTGCTCTGCTGGAGAGTGGGGCGATAGCATGGAAGGCGCAGGGCTCCCCTTTTCCTGGATGTGTCTTTGCTGCTTCAGGGAAAAAACCCTTCCCGTTGCTCTTTCATTTTGGTTTTTATTTTGACTTGCAAATTCTCTTTTTAATCTTTTCTTCCTGAGCTTATATGGTTTTATTACATTGCTGTAAACTGCCCAGAATTACTTAGTGTGCTGCCCCACTCACCCGCCCGTCTGTCTTGGTTTAGAGATAACTTTATTTCGTCTTCCCCCAGCAGTTCTGTGGCTCACTTTTTTAGAAATTAGAGCAGCAATTTGGCTGGAGACCAAGAAAATAAACAAGGAAGTGAACATATGGCAAAGGCAAAACAGTCTCGGAGATCCAGGCTTTGGCTGGGTAGTTTCCAAAGAGAAGCCCAAAGCCTGACCTGAGCCTTGGAGCCTCTCATGAGGTTCGTCAGCCAGTCCACTGGTCAGAGTTTCAGGGTTTACCAGTAGAATTTACAGGAACAGCCCAGGACAGGAGTTCAGAGGGTAGCTTCCAAGCAAAGCCAACCACAAATAAATCCCAGGGGAAACTTCCAGGCAATGGCCAATTAGTCCATCAGACAGATGACCAGCTGCTCAAACAGGGTCCAAAGCCCAAACCTCCCGGCAACTGTGTCTAAATCCACCTAGCTCACAAACTGCAGCATCTCACAAACAAACATTTGGCCTCAACCCACACCCTATTTCCAGCAACGCCTCGCTCTGCTTGCCGTGCTAAAGAGCTCCCGGTGCAGCCCATCAAGAGGGCCTTTTCCCCAGCAATCTGGCAGACCTCCGCCTCTCTGCCCTGTGTATTCACCACGGCAGGCGGCTCCTCCCTTCCTCACTGGCCTGCAAGCTCTCCCCTCTTCTGCTGGCAGTTCAGGGCCAGTAATTCCTGAAACGAGGGGCCTCTGAGGAGGAAGTGGAGGAGGAGGAGTCCACAGGAGAAGGCATCTCACTTAGATGAGATGGGCAGTGTAGGAATTAGGTGCAAAGCTGGGATGCAGTTTCCACTTGGCATCTTCTGCTATGGCTCAATTCCCCCCAAAGTTCAAGGGAGTTCCTTCTGCCCTTTCAGAAGCCCAGCTCAAGCATCTCTGGAAACAGTCGATGCAAAGAGCAGTGAAAGCAGAAAGACCAATCAGGGGTTTTGTTTCATTTCCATGCTGTATGAAGAAGAACCAGAGGATCCCTTTTCCTCCAGCGCTCTTTGCAAAGGAGGGACAGGGGTTGCGGATGGCCACTAGCCTGTCTGGGCTTCTTCTCCCATCACCTGCTTGATTGCAAGGCTGAGATTCTTAACCAAACCCCACTTGTTGTTGGTTCAAAAGACTCTCATGATCCAGTAGCTCTTTGTAGATCAGGAAATCTGCCATGCACCTCTTGGGTTGGGTTTGACCCTCGTCCTTCCCTGATGCTTCTGCTCTTCTTCCCTCTGCAGCAGCTGCAGAAAAGCCCCCCCCCCCCCGGTGGTCCTCTGCTGCCTTGCCTGCTGCCTTGCTTGCTTCATCTAATGTTTCTTGGGATGCCTGAGGTCCTGCTCTCTTTTATGCCATCGGTTCTCCAGCTGGGTTTTGCTCCTCCTAGGACAGACATGTTCCCCAAAGGAGTGAAAAATCACATTTTATCAAAATAAAGGCAGGCTTGACTTAACCATGATATAGTATTTGATTAGCAAAGTGTGGTTAAAGCGTAGTTTAGCATGACATGTGAACCTCACCAATATTCCTCCTCCTCATGACCTCGCCAACCATCGTCCACAGCAGCCAAGCAGAAAACCCTCTGGAGTTGGCAGCATTGGCTGAGCTACATCCAGCTATGCAGGATGAAGCAGCGGATGCACTGGGAGGCACTGCACTTCTGGCAGCAGAGCACCCTGCGGTGAGAAACCCCCCCCGGGGGGGGGGAGGCTGAATGTGGTGGAATATAGTCTGGATTCCCAGGAGGGAGGGGCTGCGTTCCAGAGGATCAAAGGCAGCAAAGTTCAGATACTTTGCTGAACTTATAAGCCCAGCTAAGCCCAAAATTTCTGTTGCTGTGAGAGACAGTTAAGTGAGTTTTGCTCCATTTCATGTCCTTTCTTGCCACACAGTTATTAAGTGAATCACTGCAGCTGTTCAGTTAGTAACAAAACTGGGAAGTGAACCTGGTTTCCTCCTTCGCTTTGCTTGTCAGAGGGTCACAAAAAGGGATCCTGGGACTCGGCAACCGTCATAAAGACATGCCAGTTGCCCAGCATCCAAATGTTGATCAGGTGACCATGGGAATCCTACAGTGGTCATAGATGTGGGAAACAATCATAAGTCAGTGCCGTCATAACTTCAGATGGTCAACTCGGGAACCGTGGTAAGTCAAGGACTCTCGGCTGGGAGGAAAAGGGGCAAGTCAGGGCCTTCCTAGGACCTTCCAGGGTTGATGATGGCCGTTGTTTACTGGAGTTGGGCAGGAAGGAAAGGGGGCTTCATGGTCTAATGGCCCCCCTCCCCATTTGTGAACGGAAGGGATGACACCCTAACTTTGCAGAGCCCTTGGCATTCACACGTCTCTTCCTGTTCCAAGCAGGCTCTCTTGGGGACTGTGGCAGAGGCGATGGCGCCAGAGGCAGGCTTACCGTGGGATGGAGTCCCAGGCCCTCCAGCAGTGGGCGCACAGCGTGCAACTTTGTGTGAGTCCAGAACTTCAAAGGCTTGTGGCCACGCCCTCTGGTCCTGGGGTTTGTGGAATGAAGGCAGGGGCCTGGGTGGTCAGTCTTCCCTGCCTGCCTCGGGCCCTTAGCCTCTGGTCACTCTTGTCCTCAGGCCTGGCTGCAGTGGAAGGCCCTCGACACACAACTCCAGCAGGAAAGAGCAACGGCCGGCTGGGCAGCGAGGCGCCTGCAGCACTGGACAATGTGGAAGGGCTTGAAGCCCTGGCTCCAGTACGTGGACCAGAGGAGGGAGAAGCAGCGCAGGAGCAGTGAGTGTCCCGGAAGGAGGCTCTTTCGCCAGTGTGGCAAGTGCGGTGCGGGTGTGGCTGTGTCCCAGACGGGAGGGTCCCGAGGCAGGGTCTAGTGGGCCGGGGCAGGTGAGCCTAGCCAAGGAGGTTCTCCAGGCCAGGCCCATTGGCTGAGGTGAAGCTCCCTTCAAGGCCATGAATGGGGTTGTGGAAGTGGATTGTCTCCACAGGTGGCCTTGAGAGCAGAGGAGACAATTGGCTCAGCTCCTGAGGGCTAAGTAACTCTTGCAGGGCAGGGGATTCTTCTCAACCGCTGCCATTCTATTAAAGCTGCTTTTCACCCCAGGATTCATATAGGAAGACGTCTCTCTCCTGATTGGGGCAGCTGGTCCTCAAATTACAGCAGTCCATTTGGTGAAAGTGACAATGGCCCTTTGTCACACTTACGACCATTGCAGCATCCCCATGGCCACATGATGAAACCTGGGTTGCTTGGCGACTGGTTCGCATTTATGACAGTCGCAGTGTCCTTGAATCACGTGTTCCCATTTTGCAACCTTCTGACAAGCAGTCAATAGGGAAGCCAGATTCACTTAACAACCGTGTGACTAACTTAACAACTGCAAGAATTCACCTGACAGCTGCACCAAGGAAGGTCACAAAATGGAGCAAAAATCTCTGAACTCTCTGGCTTAACCAGATAAATTCTGGGCTCCCTTGTGATGGCAGCTGGAGGAGCTTCTGTCTCAGAAGAAGGTCTCCCTCCCCCCTGAGATCCCGCTGTTCTCTTTCCCCAGGGCTGGCATCGCAGCACCATCATGCCCAGCTCCTCCGTTGGCACTTCTCAGCCTGGCAGCTGGCGTGGAAGCACAAGAAGCAGTCAGAGCACCTCGCCCAGCAAGTGGCTGGCACAATTCTGCGAAGGGCATTTGTCCAGTGGAAGCTCTGTATCTACCCCTGGGCTCTCCAGCTGCTGGGGATCCGAATCCCCACAAAGCCCCACAACGTTTGTGTGTGAGCTTCCTTTGGAAAGGAGGCCTGCATGGAGGGTTCACTGAAGAAAACAACCCTCCAGTTGGGTAGAAAAGGCGAGATTCATCTGAGTTATTTAAATTGGCAATTTATGATAGGGGTTAACCTTAAATCCTCGTGGCGAGATGAGGGGCAAATAAATGTAATAATGAAGTAGGAATTTACATGAAGGAAAGCCATAGGCAAAGACAAGCCCAAAGCCCCTCCAGGGAGCCTTTGTAGAATCTGTTGGGCTGGTGCAGGTGTGCAGGAGGCCCATTGGAGGGTCCGGTCTGTTTGAGAAGCCTTTTCCCCCAGGTGTACCTGCCGCCTTCCCTGTTGGCCTTTCAGGGTGGTTGAAAGGCCCTGGGGCTGTTAGGGGGATGGACCTTCGGAGACAAATCGTGTGATCTTAACCGATGCTGCTTTTATTTTTGGTGCAAATTGCCTGGAGTCCCATATAAATAACACATTAGAACAGGGGTCCCCATCCCCCACTCTGCAGCCTATTGGGAACCAGGCTGCGCAAGTGATGGGCATAAGACTTCATTTGCGCTTGCGCAGGGTCTAGGTAGCACAAGTGGAACCATCCCCCTGCCACAGGCCCATGGAGCCAGGAAGGCTGGGGACCACTACATCAGGACAGAAGGACCACTGTCTTCTAACCCGGACAGTGATCGAGGTGTCCATCATGTTTGGAAGATGAGGATAAGAGGAAACCGTGCTTGAGCCACATCTTCTGAGACGTTGCATTCCTCCTTTGAGGGATAAAAGAGCTGCAGGTTAGCCCAGTCTGTTGCACTTCTTAACCAATCCGTCAGATGTGACCTTGTGTGCTGAAGAAGCGGAGCATTACGGGCTGGCTCAAAGCCACCATAACCATCGTCTGCTGGTAAGAGCTTGGTGGTTTCTTGGGGAAAAGGCCGGAGGCTTCGACATCTTGTGAGTGGCTGGAGGAGCTGCTTGGCGTGCTGCATCCAACCAGCCGAAGGCCCAGGCTGGAAGGATGCGGGTTCTACTCTGCATTCTGGCAGGCCATGGTTGGTGATCTTGGGCACTTGCAGCGCCAGTAAATGGAGAAGATTCCCCAGGCTCTGTGCTCAGGACACACGCATACACGCACACCACTGCAATGACTCGCCAGTTGTGCTTTCACAAAGGACGCACAGGAGGGGCTGTTCCAGAAGTGCACCTTCCCTGCATCTGGAACTGAGGTCAGCTTGTTTTTTCCACTTTCCACAGAGTTTTGGTTTTCATGCCTTGCGAAGGAACATCCAGGAGGCTTCCCTCAAGCAAGTGAGAAGAAATCTGGCTTGTCAGCAGCACCGGGTCATGGTGAGCCCGCCTTCTTCCCCTGCTGCATCTGGTGGCCTCAGCACCCACCCTGAAGGGGGCACTTTTGTGTGGTTGAGTTTCTCTGCCATGCAGGAAACTTTGGGGGGGATGGGACGACACACGACAAATTACAGACTGCAACTGGGTTGTTCTTAGATCAATTTTTATGCATCTGTACAAATTTAAAACCTGAATAATGTAAACAATAATTATTAAATTATGGGTGATGATGACAAAGAAATGAAAATGGTGGATAGTTTTGTCTTCGTGGGCTTGAATCTGGAGGTAGTTACGAAGGGCACCAGGGGCTTCCAGAAGAAGCAGTTAACAGTCCCAAACCAAATATAGGTGGATTGCTTCCCTGAAAGCAGAGATCAGTAAACACACAACTTGGGCACAGACCCTAAGCAGATCCTGCTCTAGGAAAAGGAGGATCCTTACCAGCATGGAGGAAAGCAGGCCGGGGGGAAGAGAGGAGAGAAGGCAGATGGATAGATGGGATCCAAGAGCCCTTAGAGAGCCTGAATCGCTAGAGAAGGGGACTATTGTTGAGGCCAACTTGATAGCACCTGACTGAGGGACTTTTCCAAGAATTGGGGTACCCCACTCTGATTGGGAAGGGCCCAGGAGGGGAATGAGGAAAAACAAAATGTTCATTATATGGAAGGTAGAGCTGGATGACAGGTAAGGGTGATCCGCTCTTCCCTGGGCCCAAATTCCATCCCAGGTGGCAACTGCAGATGTTTGGTGAGGAGCAAGTGGGTGCCTGCTGTGGAAACACACACCCCCTCTCTGCATCTTGTGAATGGAGTTAACTATTTATCTGCTGCTGCTTCTCTCCTCTCCTCTCCAGCTCACATCCAGGTTCTGGGATTGCTGGACGTCTCGTCTGGAGCAGAAGGAGGATGAGCAGCACCGTCTCCTGACCCTGGCAGCCGCTTCTCACCACAGGTGCTGCCGAGCGGCCCATGGGTCACTCTCTCTCTCGAGTGCCAGCGAGGCTCTGCTTATGAAGTGTGGGGAGGGGGGGATGGCTGGGGATGGGCCGGTTTCCCCCTGGTTTGCTTACGTGCTGTTGCTGTTGCACTGTGGCAGTGAGAAAGAATCGAGTTTTTTGTGGAAATCCTGCACAGCATCCGAGAAGGGGGAAGGCAGGGCTGGAGAGGCTCCCCTGCGTGGAGGTCACTCTTGCCTGGCATGTGGGGTTCGCCCCTGAGGGCATCGAATTGTGTGTGCCTTTTCTCCACAGTGAGGCCACCGACATCCTTTCATGCTCGTGCAACAGGGCACGAGTAGTAGATGGGCTAGAATAGTTACTAGTTCTTCCCATAAACCGGCTTGTTTAAAATCGTAGGTGTGGGCTGTGGAAGGATTTGGGTCCCAGCTCCGGCCAGCCTTAGATTGACCCTGAATGCTTGCCGGCAAGCCTTTGGTCAGCAGCTCCAACTGCTGAGTTTCTGGGGCACTAACAAAAAAACAGAGATGCCCAGCTAAGCCCAAAGGCATCACATTGGCCCCACCCTTGCAAGTTGGGGTTTACTCATCCTCTGCTTTGCTGTGCCATTCAGTTTGGCCCAGGGAAAACTTTCCCTGGCGCTGAGCATCCAGAACTGGCTCCTGAATGCCAGCCGACCCTCAGCTGAAGTGCCCATTTTGCCTTCCAGGCGGAGGCTGCTGCAGAAGTCTCTGTGGACCTGGAGAGAGGGAGCCTGCGGGGAAAGATGGTGGAAGGTGAGGCACAGAGACAGAAGCCCTGAGTGGCAGTCACCGCGTGGGACTGAAGGAGCCCTGAACTTCAATCAGGGTCCAAGACTGACTGCTCCCTCCCTCCCTCCTTCCCTCCCTCCCTTGCCTTTCTTTTGGCCCTTCACTCTCAAAGGCTCCTAGAAGAGGGTGTGTAGAGGGCTAAAAGCCAGGGGGTCCCTGTCCTCGGGTGTTAAAAGGAGCCCCGGGGAAGAGAGAGTTTTGGGGAGGGGAGCTGGAAGCAGGACTGCCTGACTCCGCTTCTTCACATTTTCTGATTGGCCCAAAGAGTCACTCCGAGGGCCTGGGGTCTCCGTGGGAGGCTGGGCAGTTGCAGTCTCCTTCTGCCGCCTCAAGCAGCAAGGCCTGGGAAGGCCGAAGAGGGACACCACCAGCCCCAGGCCGTCCTCTGCTCCCTGCGCTTGGGAGGGTTCAGCAGGGAGAGGCCCGACCCTCCCAAGCGCCACACGTGGCCTGATTGAGTCCACGGAGGAGGTGGAGGGACAGTCTTCCCACAGCTTAGATTGGAAGACGTTCAGCCCGTGAGGGAGAACCTTTGGGGATCAGTGGCTCAGAAAGTCAGAAAATGCCTGATTGGTCATGCTGCATGTCACATGCACGCAAGAGTACACACACTCCTCTCTAGACAAAAGAGGAACAATTGATAACAAAAAGTTATTTAAGTTAAATTAAATGAATAAATATAAATATTTTTCAAAATGTGGCTCAGGATCGTAGGAGGCCTGAAAACCTCAGGGAATGCTCTTGCATGGCCTCCCAGCCTCCAAAATGAGCAGTGAAGCATGTCCAATTCTCTCCTGCTTTTTGGAGGCCCTGGAGATTGCCTGAGAGCAGGGCCCCTTGCACAGTTTCCAGAGGTTTCCAAGGCCTGACATGTCTCCCAAAATGACATGATGTGTCACCTGTGTTGCCTGTTTCTTAGGTTTCCCACCACTGTGCTAAGCAACTGATCCTGAGCTCCCAAGGCAGCTTTTTCAAAGCAAGGAACTGCTAAGAGCCTTCGAGGGGGCAAAGTTCAAGGCCTGGAAAAGTTGTCTGGGTGGGCATCTCCCACTTGAGTTACGTGGTTTGGTTGCCTGATGATTCCTGCCAGAAGACCCTGGTGGAGGATCAAAAGTTCCCATTAAGACCCTCTTTTTGTCTTCAGTTCCAGTGGGCCAAAGCCGAGCAGCATCGAGGGGCCGTGGTCTTGTCTGCTGCCTTCCAGGCCTGGGAGCTGTTCAAGGACCACCAGCTCTGGTGGAGGCAGATGAACGGGGTGGCCGCCGGGTACCACAGGTGGGCTGGCTGGCTGGCTGCAGCCTCTCGCTTAGGGGCGAGGGAGCCCCCATTTCTTGCTTGCCTGATGCGGATCTTGGCCTCGTCTTCTCTTGAGGCGCCAGGAGCAAAGCTAGGAAAGGTTTGTAGCTCTCTTATGAATCTCAGGGATGCTGAGTCAGAGAAGCTGTGGAGGGGACCCTTCCTAGGATCGTGGTGTTACAAGCTCTAGAAAGCACCTCAGAGATTGCAAACTCCCTCCAAGTCCGTGTGGGATCTGCTATCGCGTTTGAGTCAGATTCAACACAGCCTCGGTTTGAATTCTTTTCACGGAAGGGAACACACCATTTCATGAGGCAGCTTCTTCCTCTGTTGCCTCTTTTCCCTAACCCTAATCTGTTTCCTTGTAGTTTCGGTCTGTTGGTTCTGGTCTGAGACCCCTGAAGAGCTCTAGCATAGCTCTCCACAGCCGCCTGTGCTGCACGCTAAATATACCCTCTCCCTTCATCCAGTCTTCTCCAGATTTGGTTTCCAGGCCTTCCCCACGTTGATAGCCATTGAGCGCCCTGCAGTTTGTCACCGTCCTGCTTGGTTGGTGGGGCCAGAATTGGACACAAAATTCCAGGAGGGGAGGCTGAGCAAGTCAGGGGAGGGGGGGGGACCCTTGCTTCCTATACCCTACACCCTGTGTGCCTTTTCACCCAGAGCCCAACACCCTTTACCTTACTAGACCCTGTGTGAGACTCCTGCAGTCTACTAAAACTTCCAAATCTTTTCTTCCTCTGGAGCTGCCAAGCCCATCCTAGATTTCTGCCTTGCCTTTTATTTCTCCCCTGATGTAGGACTTTGTCCCGTCGTCGTCCCCCATCCCCCCCCCCCATTAGTTTATCCTGCTCATTTCAGTCCTCAATTCAAGGTTGTCTTGGGTCATTTTGAAACTTGCAAAGTTTAGAAAAGCCACTTCAGTGTGAGAAACAGGGAGAATGTGAGTTCTAGTAGTCCCATGTGGGGCTTGGAAGCCAGCTGGGGGAACTTAACCCAGTCACTTTCTCTGCCTTGTGAAGAGGGCACTAGCAAGCCATTTCTGGATAAACATGCCAAGAAAACTGCAAGGGATTCATCCCAACAATTGCCAGAGTCAAAAATTGACTGGAAGGTATCTCCCCCCCCCCCTCAAAAAAAAACCCTCTAGTTACCCTTCTCCTTTGTTAGCCACTTGGGGCCACATCCTGCAAAGAAAATGAGGAGGAGCCCCTGAGATAGTGTTGCTGCAGCTCCGCCTGGCAGGTTGCTGTTTATTCAGTCCAGCTCTGGCTTCCCTCCGGCAGCTGCTTCGCCTTTTGTACGATCAGCCCTGCAGGGCTCCAGATTGTGGGCTGCAGAGGCCCCCAGAGGCTTGGTTGCTCTCGGGTGTCTCACGCTGTGCTCTTCCACAGGGAGACGTGGACCAGGCGAGTCTTTGTGCAGTGGCTGTTGAGGCAGTGCGAACACCAGGAGGGACGGGCGGCAGAGAAGATGGTAAGGCTGGCCTTTGGTTGGGTGGCTTCTCTGCACGGCTGCCCCGCTGATGAGTCTAGCCAGGCCTCTCCGCCCATTGTCGGCTCCTCAGTCTCTGTGTTGTAGGCCCGGATCTCAAAGGGGGGCTTGTTCTGGGCACAGGGCAGATGGCCTCCCTTCTGGTCCTGAGCTTGGCCCCCCTTCTGCTGAGCACCAGAGGCTTTCTCCTCTTGCTTGCTTGGGTCAGGGCCGGCCCTGACCCTCCACCCCCACCCTCAGCTTTTGCCACCTGAAGCCAAGAGGCTGCCAACGAAACGGTCCCAGGGCAGCCCAGCCACAGTCCCCACCTCTGGCCTCTCTCGTTGCAGGCAACGTTGCATGCTGGACAGCGACTTTTGTCCCAGTTCTGGGGCCAGTGGCACAGGGCCACTCTGGCCTGCCTGGAAGAGCGAGAGGGCGTCTCCTTGGCCAAGGGGCATCACCGGCATCGGCTCCTTTGGGCCACTTTGCACCTCTGGAGGGAGAATGTCTGGGAAATGAAGAGAGGGTAAGAACCCAGGCAGGGCAGTGCCAACGACCGCCGCGTTCCCTAATGGCTGTGGGCTCCCTGGTTTTGGCGGCCTCGATCTGACGGCTGTGCCCCGAAATGGCCTCTGTGGGGGTCACTGGCTTTTCTTTGGCTGCAGGGCAGTGTCACGGGCGCTCTCACCAAATGCCTGTGGCTGGGGTGATACGGGACAAAGAGGCTCCCCCCATCGTCCCGTCCTCTCCCAGATTTCTCCCTGTGGGTCCTGCTTGGGGGGCAGAGGGAAAGGTTGCAGGGGCCCTTTGGAGCCCAGGGACATTCTTGGCAAAAGAGGGAGCTGGCTTGGAATGAGGAAGCGGTGCAAAGGAGCTGGGATGGCAGGTCTCCCGCCTGGAGCTGCCTGGGACTTCAGAGGGGGTTTGGGTTCCTCCGTTGCTCAAGGCCTAATGGCAGAGGCTCCTGGCGGATGTTCCTGGAGCTCCCTGAGGGCTGGATCTTTTCAGCCAAACAGGACAGGCCTGACGTGATCACTGCTTGAATGGGCGGGGGAGAGGCGGTGATGCTCCCTCCTGGATCATGGCTGATCTTCCACAATGAAAGGGAGCCAAGAATAGAGAAGGTGGCAACACCAGTTTTGCTCCAGCTGAGGTTCTCCTCTAAGGTAGGGCTGGGCAGGTCCATCTTTATCTTCCCAAGGCTCCCAGCAGCGTCTACTGGAAGACGGAGGGATTGGCTGCGTTTCCAGGGGTGAATCATTCAGAATAGCAGAGTCAGAAGAGACCTTGGAGGTCTTCTAGTCTGACCCCCTGCTCAAGCAAGAGATGCCCTTCAACTGAGCGGAGCTCGGCTTTTGCTGAGCTTCAGAAGCCCATCCCCAGGCTAAAATCTGGGTTCCTTCCCTTGTGACATGCCCGTCCTCAGCCAAGGACCTCCTGTCACCCAAACTGGGGTCCCCTCTGCTTCTTCCAGGCGGGCAAAGGAGGCAGCGGCCTTGCACTTCCGTTCAGAGAAGCTCCTGTGGCATTCGTGGAGGAAGTGGCGACAGGTGAGAGTGCCCACGGAGGCTCCCCGTGGAAACCAGCAGGAGCACAGGAGGGGCCTAGGGGGGGCAGGAATGAAGGCAGAAGCCGGCTGCTGGGATCCTGAACTTTTCCCTGCTGCTACGGCTGCTTTTCCCAAATGCAGATGGTAGTCTCAAAAGAGGGGGCCCAGGAGAGCAAGAGATGCTGGCAGAAGTTCCTATGTCTTTGTGCACCTCCTATGGGAAGAAGTGCGACTTAGTTTTCAACCCCCAATTGCTGCTTTGCAGAAAGCGCTCTGTCTGTCTCTCTGTGTGTCTGCCTGCCTGTCTGTCCCTGGATGTTATCTGGTTTCTGGGCCGTCCCTGCAAGTCCTCTCCAGGCTCCTTTTTCCTTCCAGTACCAGATGCAGAAGTCTGAGAAGTGGAAGAAGATGGCCCGAGCCGAGGGCCACTACCAGCAGGTCTTGTTGGGCAGAGTCCTGAGGGCTTGGAAGGTAGGATGCCAGAGCATCTGCCGGCTGCAATTGAACTGAGGGAGGGGTTTTTCCCCCTTGTGGAGAGAAGGAGGGCCTGTCCCGTCTCTGCAAACCCTGATTTGGAGACTGGAAGGCTGAGCAGACTCGTGTGTGTGTGTTTGTGTGTCTAAGTGGCTTGGAAATTGCTCCAACCAAAGGAAGCTTAGAAGTTGTGACAAAGTGAAAAAAAGGAACGAGGCAGAATAGAAACGGCAGAAGAAAAAATATCACTGATGTAGTTACTTAAAAGAGAAAAAGAAAAAACATTTTCATCAAACAATGGAGGGGGCTCACCAGGGGTTCTCAGTTAATGCCTCTCCAGACTTATAACGATGCTGAGCGGGTGGTAGTTATGACCAGGCCTTGTCTTTCGGTTGTCACAGCATCCCGTGGTTGCTCAGTCGCCATCTGTGACCACCCCTGCCAGCCTCACACACAGAGCAAAGTCAGTGAGGAAGCCAGCGGGAGGTCACGATCCTGTCAGGTCCTCGCTTAACAACGGCAGCCAGGACTGCTGGAACAGCTGTCATTTAGTGGTGTGGTCACAGGGTTTGTCAGGACCCTAAACTGTTTGGATGAAAAGTCCTGGAGAAGAGGGACGTTTGTGCCCTCTGAGGCCATTGAGTTGCAGCAACTAAAGGGAGGTTTCTCTTTTCTTGGTGCTCAAGTGGGGGAGGGGGGAGTCTCTGCCCCAACAGTGTGAGACATTCAGGCCCTTCCCAGGCAGAGAAGAGGCTTTGTAGGGGAAGTTTTCACAGAGAAGAATCGGGGCCTTCTCTCCTTCCAGGCCTACCAGACAAGCGTCCAGGGGGTCCTTCACCAGGTGGCCCAGAAGGAGAGGGACTACAGACGGCAGCTGCTGCGGTAATCCCCCTCTCCCCCCGACTCGGTCTGACAGTGCTGGGCATTCCCCTTCCTCAGCCGGCTGGGCCCCCCTGTGGTAGTGTGAAGGGGGCCCTGGGTCCAGTCTCCCCGAAGATCAGGCCGGGCTGGGGGGAGGGGAGATAAAGCTCCAGGACCTCTCTGCTTCCCAGGCAGGTGCTGCGATCCTGGAAGGGAAAGACGTCTGAGCTCAGGCAGGAGGCAGAGGCGGCCAGGCTGGCTGGGCATCTTTACAGGCAGCTCCTTCTCTCCAAGGTCAGCCCAGCAATGTTCCCTCTATTTTTTTTTCAGTGTGAGCAGAAAAGTATAGTGTTTGAGTGGCATATTTTCATGCCTGAGCACCTTAATTTTTTTCACAGATGTCACCTAAGACAACAATGAAATCAGTATTATTTGAAACTCAAAGTTATGTTTATTCAAGGTACCCGCTTAATTGAATTGAATTGAATTGAATTNATGTATGTATGTATGTATGTATGTATGTATGGATATGGATATGGATATGGATATGGATGAATAATATTTAAAGGTCCTCAGGGTAAAATTAAGTATTTATGTGTTTGGTTCTAGTATATTTTTGCTGGATATATGTGCGCATAGGGACAGAGATTTAATTATTTCTCTTTTTGCTATTATCTTGCTAGTATGTCTTTTCTAAAGCTAGTATTTATGTTGACAGAATCCTCTTTTGGCGCCAATAAGCAATTCCAGTGGAGAGATTTTCATCTCTCATACAGTAATAATCTTCACTCCTGTTTCCCAATAGCAAGCTACAATTTCAACCACTATCATATGTCCACAGACAAATCAGTTGCTACATGTTCTGTTTTGTTTTTTAAGTGTGCACAACATGCCAAAACACAATATCACATTCAGGGTGGATGCTTTTCCTTTTGGACATATCTTTGGAGCCAAAAGAAATGACTCAAAAATGATGATGGGGAATGAACTGTAGCTGTCAGCCTCCTTCAAGGATGAGTAATTCTGCTGTATTTGCAATGAATAACCGATGAAAAAATTATATTACATAGAAAAGGGAAGCATACCAACCCAAGTGCAAGGCAACATAGTCACTATGCAGAATTGTACAAGGGGCAAGAAATGTTGTGATGTACACAAACTCTTTTCTTAAAGCTGCCCATCATTGCCCTGGGATATTCATTGGGTACTAGGGACTGAAAGTGACAAGCAACAGGTGCCACCTAATCTCCAAGAAAGACTGTGGAACATATGTTCCAGGGTCATTCCTCGCTATTAACATCAATTGATTTCTGTACTTTCATTGCTGCATACTGCAAGTAACTAAAATGTTTTCAGCTTGGGGAGCTCACAAAATGGTTGCAGTGGGGGACTTGCCAATTCATAAAACAGAAGCCATGGTGGGCATGGCCAATCATAAAACACACATTTACCAGAAGTAAATTAGCAGTACAAAGGGATTTATATTAACCCGGTGAGACCTTTATAGATCCCAAGGCATTCTTGCAAGCAATTAGGAAATAGAGTATGGTGCTTTGCTGCTTTCTGTTTACTGCATCCATCCATCCATCCATCCATCCATCCATCCATCCATCCATCCATCCATCCATCNGTTGTAAAATAGAGCAAAACTCACTTAACAAATGTCTCACTTAACAAAGAACAAAGAGATGTTGGTCCCAACTGCAGGAATGTCAAAGACTTCCTATACTTTAGGGCTGTAGCTAGGATGATGTTGGGGAACCAGAGTTCCTTAGGGGCTTGAATTCCACTAGACCTGTGATAGCAAATCTATGGCACACTTGCCAGAGGTGGCACCCAGTGCCCTCTCTGTGGGAACGCATGCCATCACCAGCTGCTCTTCTGGTTTCTGGTGTGTACATGCACAGCTGGTCTTTGCGGGCACCGGAACACTGCACAATGGCTGGGAAAAGGGCCCCAAACCAACCAAAAAACAGGCCATTTTCTAGACCATTTTCCAGGCTGTTTTTCAGGTCATTTTCAAAAATGGCCTGAAAACAGCCCAAAATCCACCCAAAAACCAGGCATGTGCATGCTGGCCAGTGAGTTTTCGGGTTTCCAGCACTGCAGCTCACACACATGCAAGCACATTCCGGTTTGGTTACTTGATGCCAAAAAGATTCACCATTCCTGCACTAGGCAATCCTTTATGCCATTGTTCCTTGGTGACTTCATGGGCAAAATTGAAAGGAATTGCAGAGAAAGAGCCATCCTGAGCACAGGCACATTCTTGGCATGTGAGCCTGTGCTAATCGCTCTTCCTGAATGCACAGATTAAATGTCCCTGATGTGGGAGTTCAGGCTCCTGCCAATCCGGCACCCTGGGAATCGGAGCCAGCCTGCCTGAAGAAATTCAAAGGAAGTTTCTTCGCCAATCAGGCCCGGAAGCACAGGATAAAAACTGAAAGGTCCCCCTTAGGAATTGGGGTGTTAGAATTTCATTGCAACGAGCTTGCCTTTCGCCTGTCAAACCGTTTCTCCTGCTCTGGAGCTCCCAGCCTGCCTGCAGTTGGCTTTTTCTTTCTCTTTTTTCTTCCCTAGAACGGAGCGGACTGCACAATGAGAATAGTCGGAGAAGCAGCGAGAGAAGGCAGAGCTCCTTTCGCTAAGTACCATGAATGAAAACTAATTAAAGAAACGAAGAAAGAAAGAAAGCTTGCAGAAAGCAGGCGGGGCAGAATCTATCCTTGTGTCAATTATAGGCAATTGTGCCAAGCACAAAGATAATGGGGCTGCAAATTGTTCCCTCTGCTAAGTGTGCTAGACAGATAAAGGGGACCTTGTCTCTACTACCCCTTTGCTCTGCTGTGGAGGCAGGAGGGGGAAAAGATGCAGTTCTTGTGTGACAGCAAATGGAGCGCCTGCCTCCAGCCACTTTCTTCCCAGGAAGGATTAGTACCGCTTTATAAAGACTTAGGAAGACCACACCCAGAATACTGCATCCAGTTTTGGTCACCACATCACAAAAAAGGTGTTGAGACTTTGGGGAAAAAGTGCAGAGAAGAGCAGCTAGGATGATTAAAGGCTTGAAGACAAAAAGATACAGTTGCAGGAATCGTTTATGGCCAGTCTAGAGAAAAGAAGGACCAGGGGGAACATGATAACAGTCTTCCAATATTTGAGGGGCTGTCACAAAGAAGAGGGGGAAGTCGATTTGTTTCCCAAAGTGACAGAAGGCAAGACGAGAAGCAATGGATGGAAGCTAATCTAGGAGAGAAGCAACTTGGAATTGAGCAGAAACTTCCCAACAGTGCGGACAATTAACTTCAAAAGTTGTAGATGCTTCATCGCTGAATGTTTTGCCCTCTGCATGCTGCCATACCACAGTGGGGTAGGGGGGAAAGGCAGGGGCAATACCCATACGCAGGTAATCCTCAACATACAACCTCAGCTGAGCCCAAAATTTATGCTTCTAAGTGAGGAAATTGTTAAGTGAGTTTTGCCTCATTTTACTTGACATATTTTGTTAAATGAATCTCTGCAGTTCTTAAATTAGTAACACAGTCATTAAATAACCTGGCTTCCCCGTTGACTTTGCTTGTCAGAAGGTCGCAAAAGAGGATCACGGACCCAGGGACACTGCAACCATCATAAATGTGAGTCACTTGTCAAGCATCCAAATGTAAACCATGTGACCACAGTCATAAGCGTGGAATAAGTCAGTTTTTTCAGGGCTGTCATAACTTTGAATGGTCATTAAGTGAACTGCTGTAAGTTGAGGATTACCTATATACCCAACTTGAGGGCTTTCTGATAGCATCTATTTGGCCACTGTGAGAAGCTGACTGCAGAGTTAAATCAATTCTACTCCCTTTTTTCTTTCCAACTCAGCCTTCATAATCTCAGTCTAATGATGACATAGATCAAATAAGCATTGTATCAAGTTGGCATATTGTATATCCATTCCAGACACTCCCAAATGATCATTATAAATTTTGCACATCTTTTTCCTTCTGAGTTTGTTGTTTTAAAGAGAAATGGCACAGGCATGAATGATGCGCTTTAGGAGGTTTGGAAGTGATTAACAAATGAATGATAAGCAGCATTTTAAGTCAATCTCTTCCTCTTCATTTATTTAGCTGCCACTTTCATTTTTGCAGTGAATTGTTAAACAATCATAGGACTTGGGGGAGACTTTGCAAATCTTCTAGTTCAGTGATAGCTAAACTTTTTTTGTCGTGTGCCGAAAGCATGGGTGCACGCATGCCCACACCCATAAAGCAATGTGTGCGTGAACCACCACCCCTGTGCTTCCCTCTACCC